AGAGGATTAAGGTTTCCAAGATATTATTCAAGGAGTATAATTCAATGAGATAGTGTGGAAAGACAAAGTAGAGTTATTGACGAATCGAGAAGACGAGTATTTGAAAAACACGATATGAAGGATGCACCTGTGCCATTGCAAACGATTTTGAGCCATAGCATTCAAGGTCTCCAACCATCGATGACTTTTGTCTCGCGGACCCCAACCAGCTAGCCTACATCCACCAACATTACTAAGTTCGCTTATTGGCGATTTCATGGGTTTCTGCAATGTTTTGCTTTGGCCGCCCCTAACTTTCTTCCAACCTACTCCCCTAAAACACAAAACATAGCTCGTCGAGGCAGTCGGTGGTTGCGCATTCGTAACACATGTCCCAACCACCTCAACTAATGAAGGTTCACTACTTCATCCATTGATCTGCCATTCTTACCTAGCACCCGTTTCCTAACGACAACATAGGATGCAATGCGCATCCTGCATTCCATTACTAGCTGCCACTTTTCATTTCTGCCCACCACCTTATTGTAACAATCCAAACAATTTACACTGTTAAACACATTATATATAATAGGAAAGATTACTTTTTTTATAAAATTCAATAAATGCAACATACTTGAACAAAAATAATCGGTAGAAAACAACCATAATACACTGCATGCAATGTACCAATGAATATATCAGTTAATCGTGCATTGAAATCACGTCGATACAATTCCACTTCATCACGTGTTTGATCAGGTGTTACACCTAAACATTGATGATTCATCATGAGGTGATGATTGAAATCATCGTCGACAGGATCCATTGTCTGATAATCCATTGTTGAAATGGATGCATGATGATCAGCCGTTGTGGACGCATTGTCATCATGATGCTGGTGAAATAATCTTGACGGAATAAATTTATATGGTATTGGAAAAAACATCTCTTTAAATGGTAAACATGGCCAATCTGTGAAAAGTGTAAGACATCGCCAACAGGATGATGTAAATAACTGTGATAGTAGCAGTAGTAGTAGGCAGATTCAAAACAAACAAACAGGAAAAGATTGAATTAGAATTATGGAGATGAGTGTTTTTCTTTTGCACATTGAAATGATCAATCAATGAATCAATCAATCATTGTTAGACTAAACACCATTAGAAGAAATCTGGGAGTACTGAACGACGGCCGTCTCGTCCTAGTATGGGGACTGGATCAGCAGTGCGCATAACACCCTGTTGGATGTAGACAGTAACTATCAAAGACAAATGGGTGAGGTCGCACAAAATCTGTAGACTGGTCAGAGTTAGACATGAACACCGTTGGATATCAGCTGGCCAGTTCAATGGTTCAGAGATTAGGCGTTCGCGTGCAAGGCCGAAGGTCCTGGGTTCGAATCCTGCAAGGTGCAGAAGTCGTGGATGTGCACTGCCACTGATTAGTCCCCATGCCAGGATGAGACGGCCGTCCAGTGCCTCCAAGTTTCTAATGGTGTTAGTCTAACAACGATTGATTGATGATTTCAATTGAGCAAGTTACGGTATAATTGACAAAAATTGATCACAGAGGTTTAATTATATCTCAGTAATGATTAGAATACGTTTCAAAAGGAAATCACGAATCACTATTACAAAATTATTGAGTAAGTCAATGATAATTATTATTATGAAATACAATTGAAAAATATCTGGAATTCGAAACACATATCAATCAATGCCAAAATCAGGATTTTCAATACAAATGTCAAGACAGTTAGTTATACTGTATGGAGTGGAAACTTGGAGAACTACACCAAAGCTATCATCCAGAAGATACAAGTATTTATGAACAGTTGTCTACGGAAAATACTTCGTATTCGTTGGCCAGATACCATCAGCAACAACGTACTGTGCGAAAGAACAAACCAGATTGCATATGAGGAAGGAATCAGGAAGAAGTGGTGGAAGTGGATAGGATACACACTACGAAAAGCATCCAACTGCATCACAAGACAAGCCCTCACATTGAACCCTCAAGGCAAAAGGAAAAGAGGAAGGCCAAGGAACACACTACGCCGAGAATTAGAGAAAGACACGAGAAGAATGAACAAAACTGGACAGAACTGGAAAGGGAACCTCAGGACAGAGTTGGTTGGAGGAAACTGGTGGGCGGCCTATGCTCCATTGGGGGTAACAGGCGTAAGTAAGTAAGTAACAGTGACAATTTAATATGAATAAAACTCAACAGATTGAAACTGTTTGAGAATTGGGCCATAATTAAGGATAATTTCATTTGAATCATATTCAAAATTGATTTCAATCTATTTGATACGATTGTCAAACAATATAAAAGTCACCAATTTCAATACAAACATCAAGACAGTTGTTCTACTGTATGGCGGGGAGACTTTTAGAGAACCATGGAAGCAATCATCCAGGATAAGATCAAAAGTGTTTATTAACAGTTGTCTTCGTAAGATACTGCTGATCCATCTGCTAGACACCATCAACAACAGTAGTGTACTGAGAAAGTGAGAACAAACCAGATGAAGAGGGAATTAGGGAAAATGCACCGGAGTTGGATTGGTCACCCGTTTCGAAAGTCTCTCCCACCTGCATCAAAAGGCAATGCCTAACTTGGAATCCTTAAGGCTGAAAGACAGCAGGAAAATCAAATAACACGTGACTCTGAGCATTAGAGATCAACATGAAAAGAGTGAATAACAGCCCTACAACACAATAATAGACACAAAAGTATTGTATTTTTACCTGTAAACAATATTTTAAAGTAAAAACAGATGATTGATATGTAATTCTTGTATTATTGTCTCTACAAGAAGAACAACAATTACTATTATTATGATCAGTATTGTTCAATTGGGAATGATGATGATGATGATGCTGAAGACGATTATTTTGACAAACAACTTTTTCCAAATAACGAGAATGATAAACTAGGAGTGTGAGTATAGGACTAAAATTGTAAGCGAAAAATTAAAAAAATAATTAGGATACATGATGAACATGAAAAAAAAAAAGTTACACGAATTGTAATTCTGATTACAATTCACTTGAAATGTTTAACACACACACACACACAAGAGACAAGAGAAATAATCTGATGAATGAATAATAGTCAAGCATTGAGTAATGTTTACTACACATTTAGGTTCAAAGGTCATATATATATATATACAAACATTGTGACATCAAATGTGTAAACACAAAAAAAAACACAAACCTCCAAAAACTCTGCCCGAAAATATCGTACAATGTGTTCACTAGTGACTAGCTTCTTTGTGAGGAAATTCTCGGAGTTCTAGTTGAGAAGACGTGACCAATGGAGTTCAACCCTCTCGAGTACTAAAGACAAATGGGTGAGGTCGCGCAAAATCCCTAGATCAATCAGAGTTAGACATTAAAACCGCTGGATGCCGCCGGCCCAGTGGACCAATGGTTAAGCGTTCGCGCACAATATCGTAGGTCCCGGGTTCGAATCCTGCGAGGTGCAGGAGTCGTGGATTCGCACTGCCATTGATGAGTCCCTATACCAGGACGAAACGGCCGTCCAGTGCTTCCAGGTTTCTAATGGTGGTCTAACAATAATGACTGATTGAAGATTTCAAATATCATCTATACAAACACATATGTCAAAACTTTGAATAGAAAAAAAACAATTTTTTTCAACAATCAATATAAAACTAAAAACTTACAAATAAGTCAATAACACCATTCCCAATGGATGATGCATGATTGGTGTTCCAGAATATTCAATCTGATTTAAAATCCATGTCATGATATAACCCCAATAGGTAAAAATGCATAAACCCACCAATGAACGTATAATTAATGATGTCATAATCAATGAAGGGATAAACTAGTTTTTTTTTTTTTGAAAAAAAAAACAAAACAGAAATATTTTTTTATAAAATTTGTTTATATGTATGTAGAAATGGAATTGAGGATTACAAAATTATAATAATAGTAATAAAGATAATAGTAATCATCTTTCGGCGCTGACAAAATGCAGTCTTCTGACTACCCTAAGCAACAATGCAAGCATGTTCGGGATGCGGTTTTCCTCATCGAAATGCAAAATGTTGCTTCAAGATTGGGTTGCATCGGCACCTGAACTAGTGATAATGAGTGAAGTAGTCGAACGTGTAGACCGCTTCACTTATCTTGGGAGTCTCATCAGTGCTGATGGCCTGGTGACTGACGAAATCTCAGAAGGCTCTATTGGCTTTTGCCAACCTGCGTCACTTATGGCGTAGGCGTGATATCCGTTCTCTAATCAAAGGACGAGTGTACTGTGCAGCAGTTCGCTCCGTTCTCCTATATGGCTGTGAAACATGGCCAGTGAGAGTAGAAGATATTCGTAGGTTACTGGTTTTCGATCATAGGTGGCTTCGAAGCATTGCTCGTAAACCGTGGGACCCCCGAGTGAGCAATGCTGTCGTTAGGAAACGAGTACTAGGTAAGGATGGCAGATCAATAGATGAAGTGGTGAAACTTCATCAGTTGAGGTGGTTGGGACATGTCTTGCTTATGCCCAACCACCGACTGCCTCGTCGAGCCTTGTTTTGTAGTGTAGGAATAGGTTGGAAGAAGGCTAGGGGCGGCCAAACCAAAACATCGCAGAAATCCATGAAGTCATTGACTAGTGGACTGAGCCATGTCGGTAATTGTCGACTACCTGGTTGGGGTCCGCGAGATGATAATAATCGATGGTTAGAGACCTTGAACGACATGGCTCAAAATCGTTCGCAATGGCGCCGGTGCATTTATGCTTTGTGTTCTCTCAAATGCTAATCTTCTGGATTCTTCAACTCCTCTAGTTTCGACTCCCTAAACTGATGTACTTATGTACAAAGTTGTACGTTGCATCTGACTGACTGACTGTCGGCATTCGTTATGAACTTGTTCAATTCAATGGCATGGTTTTATGAAGCGTCACTAGCTATTAACAGAGAATGTAGATAATACCTCAGTCAGTGAGTCAGTCAGATGCACCGGTGCCATTGCAAACGGTTTTGAGCCATGTCATTCAAAGTTTCTAACCATCGATTATTATCATCTCGTGGACCCCAATCATGTAGTCGACAACTACCGACATGGCTAAGTCCACTTGTCATTGACTTGATGGATTTGTGCCATGTTTTCGTTTGACCGCCCCTAGCTTTCTCCCAACCTACTCCTACATTGCAAAACATAGCTCAACGAGTCAGTCAGTGGTTAGGCATACGCAACCACCTCAACTGATGAAGTTTCATTACTTCATCTATTGATCTGCCATTCTTACCTAGCACCCGATTTCTAATAATAGCGTTGCTCACTCGGGTGTCCCAGGATATACGAGCAATGCTTCGAAGACACCTATGATCGAAAACCAGTAGCCTACGAATATCTTCTACTCTCACTAGCAGCGTTTCACAGCCATAAAGTAAGAAGGAGCAAACTACTGCGCAGTACACTCGTCCTTTAGTCAACAAACGGATATCTAGCCTACGCCATAAGTGATGCAGGTTGGCAAAAGCCAATCGAGCCTTCTGTATCCGAGCTGAGATTTCGTCAGTCACCAGGCCATCGGCACTGACGAGACTCCCAAGATAAGTGAAGCGGTCAACACGCTCGACTACTTCACTCCCTATCACTCTCTAACCATCGATTACTAACATCTCGCGGACCCCAACCAGGTAGTCGACACTTACCGACACGACTCAGTCCACTTGTGCCATGTTTTGGTTTGGCCACCCCTAACTTTTGTCCAACCTATTCCTGACTACATTATTTGAATGAAGTACAATCTAATATGGTAGTGTAACGGTTCAAGCTATTTGTCTTATTCGGTTATTATATACAATGTATCCTGGGATAACCGAGTGAGCAATGCTATAGTTAGGAAACAGGTCCTAGGTAAGTGTGGAAGATCAATGGATGAAGTGGTGAAACTTCATCAGTTGAGGTCGTTATGACATGTGCTGCGTACGCCTAACCACTGACTGACTCGTTGAGCTATGTTTTGCGATGCAGGAATAGGTTGGAAGAATGTTAGAGGCGGCCAAACCAAAACATGGCACAAATCCATGAAGTCAATGACAAGTGGACTGAGCCATATTTGTGGGTGTCGACTACCTGGTTGGGGTCCGCGAGATGATAGTAATCGATAGTTAGAGACCTTGAATGATATAGCTTAAAACCGTTTACAATTGCGCAGGTATATTCATTTATGTGTTCTCTCAAATCTTAACCTTCTGAATTTCTCATTCCCTTTATCTTTTTATTTTTAAGTTTATTTCACTGAATCCTACTTCTTGGAAAATATCTTCGAACCCTAATCTCTCCGATTACTGCTAATACTTCTACTACCTATACTACTATGGGATTTGAAGTGAAAATTACATTTCTGTGTGTCGTAATGTGGTATGGCAACTTGAAATGATGTACGTAAGTACGCAGTTCTATGCTGTTGTTGACTGACTGACTATTATATACAGAGATCAATGAAGCCTTAAGTAAACATAAATCAACATTGAACTGGAAAATAACATACCTTAATCAATATCAAATAAACATACGGAGTACACAGCATCAACAAGATATGGGTTATAACATAACAATCGATCAAGTCGAATTCCTATAAATTGCAAAGAAATATTATTCACCTTTAAGTTGAATTATATTAAAAATTCTTATCTTAAGTCGAGGTATGATTAATGAGTTTTTGGAACTAAAAATTACTGAATAAGTAAGTGTCCAGTTTTAACTTGATGGAACTCAGCAGTAATCAATATATACCGTCGATTGAGCTGTTATGGAATGGATACAGGATGGAGTGCTCACCATGAGAATCGATAGTATGATTTAAGAGATTTCGTACAGAAACGAACGTGTAAACTGCTGTAAAGTATGAGAATATGCTTTATTCAGATGATGGGAGTTTATGATGATGGTGTCCGTCAACGCATCACAGATCATCTGATGTGGTTGAGGAAAAGACAGTTAAAAGTGGTTAAAAGTTCTACATTCATTTAGTTGACAAACATGACATGATTAAAACTCTTAAAATGATCCACTTCATTTGCCACACTGCTTATATGCTTGTCTTTTGTATGTCGCTAAAGCCATCACAAACCATATCCAGAAACCTCATCCCTACACCAAAAACAAGTTTTTACAGCTTTTGTTTTTGTCTTGCCCATTAACAGAGACCGAACAAAACGTGAGTAAGCCTATTTTCTTAAACTTTCTAAATTTCGTTCAGTTTTTTGAAACCTTACATAATTTTAATATTTTGTATCGTTTCTAATATAAGTCTATTGTGGTGCGCGCTACTTATAAGTAGTATATGACGCGAGCGTAAACGTAATGTATGGCTCAGCAGAAGATGAGGGAAGATCAAGAAACGAAGAGAGTGGGAACATAATGGGATTTGTGTATGAAACGCATGAACAGTGAAATGTCAGACAATGGATTGATGTTTTGCAACAGGAACAGTCCTCCAGTTCGATATGATGATGAACTGATATTTTGCAAATTAACAACGATTTACGATATGATTTTCCTATTTTACTACTGAGTAACTCTGTAATTTTCGTTAAATACAATTCAGTTGCCCTTACCTGTATTCTCGTTCACTACACTATTATTAACAGGCTTATAAAAATAAATATTTCATTTCCTTATTTACACATTGATTATTTCTTATCGAGCATTTCTATTAAAGTTAACATTTATTTATATTGAACTTACTATAGGATATTCAATTGATGTATTTCGTAACCACCATACAGTTTGATATAAATTCATATGTTGAATTAATGTAGATGTTAAGCATAATACTAAACTAAATGAAAGAAATGATATGCTGGATAATTTTGGCACAATAGGGAATATACAATGTTTCACTAATGGTACTGATGATATCAATTGATCACTTGTTCTATAATAATAGTAGAATTAAGGAAATGATAATACGAATGTCTATTTATTACTTTTACCTTCGTGAACTATTATTATTAAAACCACCGCCAATAGATCCTAAACGTCCAGATGATCGTTTGATAGGCATTTTATGTTAACTTTCAATTCAGTTCAATCTTTGAATAGAGCAGAAGTTACATAGTTGGCTTAAGTAAAAAAGAAAATTATACCGAAAAAAATTGACTAGAAACTTGATTATACACAAATGAAATGATCAAGAATACCGGGAAACATGTTAGTAACAGAAAATATCAACAAACCAATGTGAAGTTAAGTGTCATTAATACTATTAAAGTAATGAAATAACTACTAGCTTGGAATGGAACTTTGAAATTCTATTTGGCAAGTCAAACATAAATATTGGTTCAAATAAATTTGTACTTGGAAAGTTTTAACAAGGAATGTATGAAATAGGGTAAGGTGGTAGACGTATTAGTGGTAATCAAAAGGATTAGGGATCGAATATATCATTTGAGAAGTATTTCCCAGTGGAATGAATTTGAAAAAATGGGAAAGAAACTGCCTTGAGGTATTCAGAAAGAGTAGAATTTGATAGAAGACAAAGAATGGATGCATCTGCATTATTGCGAACGATTTTAAGCCATATCATTCAAAGTCTTTCAACATCGGTTAATATCATCTCGCGGATCCCAACATGGCTTTTCTACACATACCAACATGACTCAGTCCAATTTGTCAGTGACTTCATGGATTTGTGCCATCTTTTGTTCCGGTCGCCCCCAGCTTTCTTCTGGCATACCCCTACACCAGGCTTATAGCTTGCCGAGGCAGTCAGTGGTCGGGTATTCGTAACACATGCCCCAACCACTTTAACCGATGAAGATTCATAACTTCATCAAATGATCTGCCATTCTTACTTGATACTCTGTTTCTAACAACAGCATTGCATACTCGATGGTCCTATCATACACGGGCAATGCTCCAAAGACTCCAATATTAATAGCTTGCAAATATTGTCCACTTTCACTGGCTGTCAATCTTCAATATCTTTGGTTATCACTATTACTTCTACTACCTTCAACACTATGGGACTGGAATTGAGTATTCTATCTCTTTGTGCATATGTGGTATGGCAACTTGAGCTGATGTACGTACGTACCAAGTTCTACGTTGTAGCCGACGGACGTTTATGCTTGAAGTCTATCTACCTTGGAATGTATTGGTATCATTATCATTCTAAAAGAGCTTTATTATGATTAACAAAGGTGTCTTGAGGACAGTGACTCTAGATTGTGCTTAAGAATTTGATTTTATAAAGATATCGTTTTAAAAGAATTATTTTTTGAAATGTCTTTTAGAGATATGAAAACAATTTACGCGAGGAATATGAGCATTGTTATGCAACTACGATCTTAGAGGGAAAATAGACAGGAAATATCATACACAAATGCAATTTTCTAGGGCCAAAGAGATTACGAGAATTGCATTTACCCACTGATACCCTCCATTGTTTCTGGAATCACCGCATTTATACCAGACCGACAGTAAATTGTATATAGGTTAGCCCTACAACAGGACATATCAGTTCGCAAGGTCTAAGCTTAGACTGAAATTTTAAGACCAGAACAAATAGAACCAGGAATAAAACGGTAAATTTTTGGTGGTTAGTAATCAAAGTATAGTTATTATCAATATAACGTATAAGTTGCTGACGACTTTGAGAAGCTTATCAGTTAATTAGGAGACTACCTGGTTATAAAACAGACACCAACTGTAAAATACCAGTGAAATAACAGCTTAAGTCTAAATAATTAATAAGCATACATCGAATTACTTCTCGTAGTGGATGGAAAGGAACTAAATTAACTTATTAAAAACTGCATACTAATCACAACCCTGACCTTGAAGAACCTTCAACAAAATGCTGTTTTGATATATGCGCCGTGACCCTAAGGAGACTTCCAGTATCTTTTTCACGAACCATTATTAAACAGATGATCTGTTTGCTTTGGATTCTCGTTCTTTCCGTATGGTTTTAGGTGCTTGCAAAAGTCCAATGGATTGGGGTCTAGCCACTCAACTGCCTAATTCTAGTCAGTTGGCAGTTGCTTGTGAGTTTGAATGGATATGTTTCTGAATACCAGCAGCTATCACATTAACAGACCAGAGGTCAGTTAGCTACAATGTGTAGAATAATAAGCAGAAAATTCTAATGCTCATAAGAAGAGGATTTCAGAACTAAGTAAATAAATAGATAATGTAGTTTATTAATTGGTAGTGAAGATTGTGAGAGAGGACTGAAGTGTAGGCAAGGGGAAGGAAACGGAGATAATACGCTAGATAGAATAAGTTAGTGACCTGAGAAGGTGGCAATAATCCCAACTACCAAGTCTCAATACGTGAATCAGGCACTGCTGGTCCACAAGAGCGATGATGATCTGTATTTGAGTACGTGTTTATCAATTTATTTCTCTGCCCACTGAGGGGGCTGTGGTCACCTTGAATAGGAGAGCATTCCAACTTAGAACAACCCCTAGTAAGAAAAAGTGTGCACGAACCTAAGTGTTCGCTCTTTGACGCGCTATTTTGTGAGGGGCATGTTGATGTTGCTTCAGTAGGATGAGCACGTCGTTGTGATTTGGCGTGCGTAATATGTTGCACGCCGTAATCAGATCACCTCTGACACTCCTGTAACTCAGGGGGAATAATCCCAAGTGCTGGAGTCTATCTTGGCAAGTTTTATTCTTCAACCCCATCATCCATTTCGTTTCTCGTCTCTGCACTCGATCCAAGAGATCTATGTCTCTTTTGAGGAGAGAGGATACAACGACGTTGTAGCGCACATATACCTGAAACTACTTTAAGAATAATTCTGGGGTGATAGCACCAAGCTGTCTTTGCATAAGATGATGAGTTGCATTAGCCTTGGCTTCTTTCCCTATGTTTTTCGAACTGGTTTGGAGGGCCTGATAAGACATTAGGGAGTGGACATCCGTTGTAGGTATAAGTCGTTTGTGTTACCTGGGACAGAATGTATATAACGTGAAATCTCGGCTGGTTTATTTGTAAACCGTTTTTTACTGTTCATTCCTCAATAGATGTAAGGTATTTTTGAAGAACAGCCGAATCCTCTTTGTTTCTAGCAGACTTCCAGATCATTGTATCGTCAGCGTAGATCAATGCCGGTGAACTAACTGTGCCTAACAGGTCGTTAATAAATATCAACAAGAGAAATGAACCTGAGATGGTCCTCTGTGAAACTCCCGATGTGGATACTCGCCAGCTCACGTGGACGCTATTTGCCCTGATGCAAAACTTTCTATTCTCAGGGCAGTTACCGAACCAGCAAAGGAGTGGGTCAGTGAGGCCCATTTTTGCAACTTCCGCAATTAGGATTGCATGAAGCAATGTGTCGAAGGCTTTCGCGAGGTCAAGAAATGTTATGTGCACCGGTGTCTCTCGATTCCAGCAGGATGTCCAATTGTCCCACACCACGAGAAGATTGGATACACACGACCTGTCTTTCCGAACCCCGTGTTGAGGTTCATGGAGTATAATTTTCTTATCCATGTACTTCCTCGTTTGTTCGTTCATCAACCCTTCGATTTCGTTTGATACTATTGTTAGTAATGCGGTTGGTCTTTAACAGGCTGGGTCCTTCCTATGTCCTGCTTTAAAGATAGGAGAGAGTGGCTTATTTCCATTCATCTGGGAGTTGATGTGATTCCAGTGAATGCCTGAACAGGTTACATATCGGTGAACAGTGGGCTTCTGCACGTTGTTTCAAAACTACCTGGTGACCTTCCGGGACGCAAGAATTTTAGTTTTCGTAATACTAAGTCAGGAGTAAGTCGGATATTCCCTAAGCCATCATCTGGCACTAAGCTTGAGTAGTACTGTGAACATGTCCATACCTGATTTACCTGGTTAGTGAAGTCTGTGTTGAAGATCTCAGCCATCTATAGGTTGGTGGGATCTTTGGTAAGACCTTTATGAGCAAAAATACCCTGGTTTGTAGGCTTTATTTCATTCATGAACCTGTACAGATGCTTAGGATTTACCTGTATTTGGACAGCTAGCCTTATCTGAAAGCGTTTAGTGCCTCGTTTAACCCAAGTTATTCTCTTTGCAAGTGTGTGATGTGCCTGTGGAACATAGCCTAATGCAGCATTTAGGATTGGGTCTCTCACTATTTGCCAGCGATCACCATCTGTTAGCCCCCACCATTTTCCGTGGCCATGGGGCATGTAGAAGATTCTCTCTCACGCACGTGTAATTCGCCCTGGTGTATCAAAAGTAGGACTCGTTTTCGTCCTTATTGAGTTTTTCCTTTATGACCATGTTAAACAAGACTTTGCCATCGTCACTAAGTCCTATTGGTGTATCGACCAGGAGCTGATCACTTGTTGAAAAATAATCCAAGTTTGAGGATTTTTCTCCTTGGTCCACCTAGTGTCACTGCATACATGCTCAGTCAGCCCAGAACTTTTGATGACTGCGCCAATTCGTCTTGTGAGCCAACCAGTGGGAGTTGTACCCTGTTTGCTGAGCGTTGGAGATGGGATGTTGGAATATCCAGCCAAGAGTATTTGATCAAACCCAAGGAGTGGCAGTTGCATTACTGCCTCAGTCAGTTCAACTTTCTGGGCCTTAGTACTTCAGAGGGGCTGGTAAATCCTTCCAATCATGTATTTTGTGCTATCTGCGTGGAAACAGCACCAACATGATTCTGTCGCCTTGGTTAATTGGTTGTCGTATCGTCTTTCGTCTTTCAATTAACTATCAATAAATATTTCCACTCCGCCTCCTGTCCGGTGTACCCGATCACATCGGAAAAGTGTTATGCCTTGCAAGCTCACTTCTTCGTTTGCGCTTTTGCGGGATTATGGTCTTCAGAACCATGTGAGGGCATATATTCCTGATTTCAAACAGCTTAACCATTGGTCTTACTACGTTGCTATAGAGGCACTCGGTGGTTTGTCTCAACATCCGGTGCACTTCTGTAACAACAGCCATTGACGGATTTTCAAACAAGTTGTTCAAACCGAGTTGACCAGTTCTGTGGGAGTTGGCATCTGTAGGTTTTTCGCTTATTCAGTGTATTCAATTGGCGAGACCTGTATCTTC